AAACTCATAACAAATAGATAAATATGCAATTTGTGTTAGAGTTTTATATAAATTTTTTAAAAAAATTATTTTATTTTTTTAAATATATCCTTTTCTAATTAGATTTCCTTTTAAAAAAAATTCATAGTAAATAGATAAATACAGGTTATATGTTGTAGAGTTTTAAGGAAAATAAAATAGATAATTTGTAATACAGTTTTATAGAAATTAATTTATTTTGTGTAAAAATCTTCATAATAAATAGATAAATACATGATACATGTGATAGAGTTTTATATAAAATAAAATAGCTAATTTGCGGTAGAGTCTTTCAAAAAATCTTTTTATATTAATTAATAAATATTTTTATATTGATACTTTTTGTCTAATTATATTTAAACTCTTTTTATATGAATTAATAAATATTTTAATATATTAATAATTATTGCCAAATTAGATTACCTTTTATTTAAAAAAACCTCATAATAAAAGGTAATTTGTGGTAGAGTTTTACGAAAAATTATTTTATTTTTTATATTAATAGTTCTTGTCTAATTAGATTTTATTATATTAAAAACTCATATTAAATAAATAAATAGGTAATTTGTGTTAGAATTTAATAGAAACTCTTTTAAAAACTCTTTTTATATCAATTAATAAATATTTTTTATACTAATAATTCTTGTCTAATTAGATTTTCTTTTATTAAAAAAACTCATAATAAATAAATATATATGTAATTTGTGTTAGAGTTTTATAGAAACTCTTGTAAAACCTCTTTTTATATCAATTAATAAATAATTTTTTATATTAATAGTACTTGTCGAATTAGATTTTCTTTTATTAAAAAACTCATAATAAATAGATTAATAGGTAATTTGTATTAGAGTTTTATAGAAACTCTTTAAGTATATCTTTCTTTAGTGTGATAGAGTTTTATTAAAAATAAAATAGATAATTTGTGATAGTGTTTTATAAAAATTATTTTATTTTCTTTAAATACATCCTTGTCTAATTAGATTTCATTTTATTAAAAAACTCATAATAAAAGCTAATTTGTGGTAGAATTTTAGAAAAATTATTTTATTTTGTTTTGTATATCAATTAATAAATATTTTTTATATTAATAATTCTTGTCTAATTAGAATTTCTTTTTAAAAAAAATTCATAATAATAAATAGATAAATAGAATTTTATTAGGTAGGTTTTAGAGTTTTATAAAGTATTTTTTTATATAAAAACTATATTCATATCAATTAATAAATATTTTTTTATATAAATAAATAAATGCTGAAACACTGAAACTCATTGTACATTTAATAATTGTATAGATATAGATAAAAATTCTTTATCAATTAATAAATATATTTTTTATATAAATAAATAAATATTGATTGACATAAAAATATTGATAAAAAGAGTCATAGACCTAAAAATATAGATTAAAACTCTTCTTATATCAATTAATAAATATTTTTATATAAATAAATAAATATTGAAATTCTTTGACAGAACTTCTGTATTTTACTCTGGAATTTTGGATTTCAAAATTCTCAATTTATGTACCCTTCCTCCTTTTTTCATGCCTTTATTTATACACTTCTTGGATTAATAGGATGATTACATGTGTCCTCTCTTGATAATGACATAATCATAATTAGGCCGGGCCGGTTATATTGTAATAATTATCTATAATTTTTTTTTAGAGTTTTATAGAAACTATTTTTTTAAAAACTATTTTTATATGAATTATTAAATAAATATATACTGAAATACTGAAACACTGAAATACTGAAACTCTTTGTACATTTAATAATAGTATAAATATAGATATAGATATATATACTATTTACATATTATGTGTGTATATACACACACACACACACACACATGTCCATCAATTAAGTGAGGAGAAAAAAAAAAAAAAAAAACTATATGAATTGTGATTATATTGAACGTGAACCCATATATATATATATATATATATATATATATATATATATATATAGTTAAAATATAATTAAAAAAAAAGAAATAAAATAATCCATTCCCATAATATTATTTGTTTTGGCAAATCCAAAAAGAAAATAATATACTCCCGTATGTGTTTTTTTTTGGTAATATAGAATGTTATTGATATAAAGAATAAATCGTAAGTCACACCATCCTTCTCAACAGGTGTCGCTCTCACGCTCTGAGCGTACTCTCGCTTCAAATTCTTAATTTTGCTCCCGCTCCCGCTTTATGTAACTTAGGATAAAACTGAAAAGAGGATAATAAAAGGAGAGAGATAATAAAAGGTTAAAGGGTAATTTGTCTTAAAAATTTATATTTTAATTTCCTTACGGGCATGAGACAACTTATAAATGAACGTGTAATTATAAGAATTGTAATCAATAATGGCAGTAGCAAGAGTGACTATAATTAACACTCCTCTTTTTCCCAATGAATCAAGAGCTTTTAATATTTAATAAATATTAAAATAAACATGCAGCTAGAGTGACAAAATTTACTTGCCATGTCTTTATGAATAGAGAATATTTGACATCTTCTCTTTCATATAAAAAAAAAAACAAAGTCTTTAAAAAAAAGGGCGAATTGCAAAAAAATCCCCCTTGACTATTACCCATTTGTAAGAAATCCCCCTTGTGAATGTTTTTGGCAAGAAACCCTTCTCAATTATGAGAAGGGGATGAGTTAACTGACCTTCATTTAACCATTTTGTGAGGCAATTTTTTATGACCAAATTATTCTTTAGGTCAGTTGCTTTATTTGGGTCTTCTCCACTGAATTTTTTTATTTTTTATTTTTATTATTATTATTTTTTTTTTATGGACTTTGAATTGGTTGAAACTTGAAAGTATCTATATTCTGTGTTGAACAGATTTAAGATTTTTTTTTTTCATTTTTTTTTTTTTCTCTTTTTTCCAGGAAGTTATTGTTTTTCGAAACAATTTGCTCTTATGGTTTGTTTATTTATTTTTGTTGGTCATGAATTAAGGAAAAAGGAAAAAGAAAAGAGGTTATCATGTTCTTTATATGATGCTAGTACTCTGTTTGTGGAGATTGTTCTTGGGAGTAGATGCATAAGCTTGGTGTCTAGCTTATGTCCTGGAAAGCGTAGACGTCTTTTAAGCATTTGTATGAGGTGCAGTCAATAAATAATCATCAACATCATATGTTTTTTTAGGTTAAGGGTAAGCAGAATCTAATGATGATGCCAGTTTTGGATATCATTTTTGATGTGGTAAACTGAATTTAGCTATATAATTGTGAAAAATTTCGCTGTCCTTAGTGAATTGGATTGGCTTTGTTGTTCTCCAAGTTTCTCGAAACTGATTGTTGAACCATGACAATGCTTCTACATTACATGCAATTAACGTTATGAACTCAAAAACTTTATCAAATGTATAAAACAAGTGTAGGAGATTGATAGCGCTTTCTCATATATGCAACTCTTCTCAGTTTTGCATTTATACAATTTAAATGATTTTGTCAAATCCTTGAAACTGCAGAGAGACCTTCAGAAAAGACGGACAGAAGAAATGATGCCCGTGGGTCTTCGAGGAACCGACATCACAGCCAGAGCGGAAGGGAGAGCCCACATTGCAAGTCATCAAGCTGAGACAGGGATACTGACCCAAAGGGTAATTTGGTCAGAAAAAATTGTCTCACAACATTGTTAAACGGAGGTAAGTTAAATCACTGCCTCCTCGGCGGCTCCTCTAGTTAAGGGGGTTTTCTTGCCAAAAACATTCATAAAGGGGTTTATTGCAAATAAGTAATAGCCAATGAGGATTTTTTGCAATTCGCCTTTAAAAAAAAATAGGGTACAGTGTCAAAAAAAACCCACTTGAATTTGCAAAAAATCCACTTGAACTATATTTTATGCATAAAACCCCTAAACTATCACATTTCATTGCAACATATCCCAATGTTTATACTATATTTCATTAAATGATCATAATGTCCCTCCTTATTGAATTACATTTAATATATTTTTCTTATCTACATAAATTTTGAAAGGAAGATTATACTAATTTGATGACATATTCTCCATTAAATTTGCATAACTTAATATTTAATTTTTGAAATTAATTATTTAAATAAAAATATTTAGTAGTAAATTTTTAAAAAATTAATTAATTTTTAATGAATATATTACATGAAAATAAGGTATTTTTCTAAAAGTATTTTATTAATTTTTCATCGATATATTGTATGAAAAAGAAGATATTTTTTTAGCATAAAATTTTTTAAATTGGTTATAATAAGTTTTATTACAAATAATAAAGTTTTAATAATAAGTTAATCAATTTAAAAACTGGTAGTTACAAATATATTTATCTTTTTTTTCATTTTTATGATACATTTATACTATAATAAAATTAACGCAAATAGTATAATTAATATTTACATAAGAGGATAATAAAAATAATTTAATAAAAAATAAAAATTTTAATGAGAAAGGGAAAAATAAAAATTTTAATAAATAAAGGATAAAATAGTCTTTTGGGACAGTCATTAGTTGAGTTAAATTTTCATTACTCCATCAAATAGCATGCAACAATACTAAATATCCCATTTTTAATAGAAAATACTCAAAAAAGTAAATACTTACTCTTTGTTAAGTGTATAACTTTTGATTCAAAATATAAGAAAGTGAGATCCCAACTTCCTAAATATTTGATAAATCTAACCAATTAAAAGTTAGAGGTCAAACAAATTTTTGCAAGTCAAGCAATTCACTTATGAAATCAATATTATTAATAAAATTCAATATTAAAACTATTAACGTTGTGCTTGGCAGCATAAAAATTCAACATAAAAATCATAGCAAATGCATATACACCCACCATATTTATAAATCACAAGTAAATGCATATATAAATCACAAGTAAATGCATATAAACCTACAATATTGATAAACCACTGCACGTACACCCACCCACAGTATTGATAGTTGATAAACCACTGATAACATAATCAGACCATAAAAACCAAGATAAGATAAAGGAGACTTGTGTAAGGCCAAAAATTAGAAGTAACATTCACCAATAGAGGGGGTCAAACAACCAATTTCACCAGTGAAATTGCTTCTACAGAAGTTTTTGATGAAGGATCTATTATCAGGTTTTTCAATTTGAATAGACGGTATCAAATCAATAAGTAACCCTAGTACGACGACTAGAATTGACGAGGTTTAAATACAAAAATGCTAAGAATTTTATATCATGGGGAGAGCAAAATGAGTAAAAATCTCAAATCTAGTTTTATCACCGATCAGCCGTGTTCCGCCCTATTTCTTTGCCTCCTCATACTCTGCCTCAGGAGCCTGGTCACCACCACCCTGAGAACTTCCGGAGGAGGAATCACCACCCGAACCACCTCCTGACATGTGCTGTCCGATCTTTGAGACAGCCTTGTTTGCAGCATCGAGCTTCGTTTTGATCTCTTCAATATTCTCACCACCCAATGCTTTCCTCAAGTCCGAAACGGCAGTCTCAATCTCTGTAACAACATCACTTGGGACCTTGTCCTTGTACTCACTCAAGCTCTTCTCAATACTGTAGATGGTGGTGTCTGCATTATTCCGAATATCGATAAGAGATTTCCTTTCTTGATCCTTCTGAGCGTGCATCTCAGCTTCCCTAACCATTTTATCGATCTCGTCTTCTGAGAGACCTCCAGATGAACGGATGGTAATCTGTTGTTCTTTCCCGGTGCTCTTGTCCTTTGCAGAAACAGTAACGATACCATTGGCATCAATGTCAAATGTGACTTCAATTTGAGGCAAGCCTCTGGGAGCTGGAGGAATGCCCATAAGATCAAATTCACCCAACATCTTATTGTCAGATGCCATTTCACGCTCACCTTGGAGCACTTTTATGCCCACCTGAGTTTGATTGTCAGCTGCGGTTGAAAACACCTGAGATGGTGACGGCAAATCAGTGAAATAGATACACCAACGAAAACATCATAATAGATACCAGTCAACAACCAGCCAACGTTACCCCAGATTCCGACCCCGGTTGAACTTACGTTTGCTGGTCACATTATTAAGGCTGCGCTTACTATAGAAGTACAAGTACAGTTTCTCTTCTCCATTTTTTTTTTTTTTTGCAAACTTTATAATTTATAATGCTCCTCTCAAAATGTCCATTAAACCACAGTTTCAAGTATACCAACACATGCACCGTTACTAAACATTAGAACTTGTAATGACTCCATTTTATATTACACCCTAGCAACGTAACACATTTTCAATAAATTAAAATTAACATTGGGGATTGAGAACTCACCTGGCTCTTCTTTGTTGGAATGGTTGTGTTCCTATTAATCAATCTGGTGAAGATACCACCCAATGTCTCGATACCAAGTGACAGAGGAGTGACATCCAGGAGAAGCAACTCCTTCACATCTCCTCGGAGGATACCACCCTGGATTGCAGCTCCCATGGCAACAGCTTCATCAGGATTTACCCCTTTGCTAGGGCTCTTACCAAAGATTTGTGCAACTACTTCCTGCACTTTTGGTACACGTGTCATCCCTCCAACAAGAAGAACCTCATCCACTTCCTGGATTGATACACCAGCATCCTTCAAACAGCTCTTGCATGGGTTCTTTGTCCTATCAATCAAGTGGTTCACCAAAGCCTCAAACTTTGATCTGGTCAGTGTTATGTTCAAATGCTTTGCACCAGAAGCATCTGCTGTGATGAATGGTAAGTTAATCTCAGTCTGGGATGTTGACGAGAGTTCTATCTTAGCCTTCTCAGCTGCTTCACGTAGCCTCTGCAATGCGAGCTTGTCTGTTGACAGATCGATACTCTCAGTTCTCTTGAATTCACCCACCAAGAACTCCAACAGGGCATTGTCAAAGTCCTCTCCTCCCAAAAAGGTGTCACCATTTGTTGCTTTCACCTACATTAGAAGGTAGTTAATGGCATATAGACATAAACGAAGATAAAAGAACTCCTCAAAATGAAATGAGCTTCCACACCTCAAAAACACCATTAGAAATCTCTAAGATAGAAACATCAAAAGTTCCTCCTCCAAGATCAAAAACAGCTACAAGACCCTCCTTATTATTCAAACCATAGGAGAGTGCAGCAGCAGTGGGCTCATTAATAATTCTCTGCACATCAAGGCCTGCAATCCGCCCAGCATCCTTTGTTGCCTGCCTCTGAGCATCATTAAAATAAGCTGGCACAGTGATCACAGCTTTGTTGATTGTCTTTCCAAGATAAGACTCTGCAGTTTCTTTCATCTTGGTCAGAACAAAGGCTCCAATTTGGCTTGGAGAATATTGCTGCCCATTGATTTCAACCCAAGCATCTCCATTGGGAGCCTTGGTTATCTTGTATGGGACCATCTTCATTTCTTTCTGTGTTTGGGGATCTTCATAGCGTCTGCCAATCAACCGCTTTGTGCCAAAAAGTGTGTTCGTTGGATTGGTCACAGCTTGACGTTTAGCAGGAGTACCAACTAGGAGCTCTGCCTTCTGGTTAAAGGCAACCACTGAAGGTGTGGTCCGAGCACCTTCAGAATTCTCTATCACTTTTGCGTTCTGTAAAAAATAGCAACAGTGACTTAGAGCCATAATATAACATCAAACTTTTCAACCAATGAGGGATGACCCTTTGTCTCACCTTGCCCTCCATAACTGAAACACAGGAGTTCGTAGTACCCAAGTCAATTCCAATAACATCATTCCCAATCGGCTTTGAACTGTAACATGAATGAAAATCAGTTAAAGACTAAAAAAAGAAAAAGAACCCTAAACTCTTACTATAAAGAGAGTTGATTTATCTGATATACCTAAATGGTCTGGCAATACTAGCCCATTTCTGACCCAAATGAGGGGTAGCCCATGATGATTTAGCATTTCCAGCCAACTGCACAGCCATCAATATGTAAATGTTACTCCATTTTATGCAATAAGTAATACATTGTATCTAAAACACCAAAAGGTAAAAGGATCTTCTCAAACATAAAGACCCTGATAAGTATCACAAGTAATAAAATCTTATTCACAAAATTCTAGCCCTGTGCTGTTAGAAGGGCAAATGGTTGAGAGAAGCTCAGATACACATTAGATTGTTAATAATACCTACTCCTATTGGTACATGGGTCATAACCATTGAAAACCTGCTTGACAATAATTGAGATTGAACCAATACCCAAAAATAGCCAAAAGCACATCCTTGTTCACCCAAGGACTACTAAAATCTTTAAAGAGAAGAAATGAAAGGGGGAAAAAACACTTTGTTGAAACATGGGAGAGATTATAGCCACTGATTCAACTGATATTCTATATGCCACAACTTCATCCCTGAACATTCAAAACAATTACAAAGAAAACACTACAAATAGATACAGGATTAAAGGTCACAACAAGACCAAGCAACCAAACAAGAAACCAACGGAACAAAGGGACACTATTCAACAGATTGTAATGTGAATTTCCATAGCAGGGCAATAACATACATAACTTCATTGACCCCAATAAAGTGCAGGATCTCCGCAAAAATCAACTGAAATTTTATCATATCTATGATAGTGCATACAAAACATAAAGAAGAACAAGGAATGAAGTCCATAAATAACAAAAATAAAATTGGAGTTCCAGTTAAAAAACTCAAAATCAAACTCAACATCTTCACAGTGCCACGCATGATACTGACACCAACGGAAAGAAAAAAAAAAAAAAGAGAAAATCAAAAGATTCCAAGCAATAGTCTAGAAGTAATACGCAACCATCATCTGCTTATGCAAAGCCAATATTTGTATTTGTAAGTACACGTATACATGTTTTACATTTTACAAACAAAAAACAAATAAATAAAATAAAATAAGACAATTAGGTATACATAATCGAAAAGGTCAAACTGTGAAACAGGCCATACACAACCAAAACGACGTGAAACATTACAGTATAAACATATTTGATATTCTACTCCTTTTTCCCAAAAATTTCTCAGGAAACAAACACATAATTTATAGTACAAAACAACAAAGATAGCATCTAGTATGTACCGAATCAGAAACCAAATATAACAGTACAGATCCATAGTAAAAAACACAAAAGATAGATCAATGGGGATCAGAGAATATGAAGCAATGAATAGATTCCCATAAATGAAACGTACGCATTTGTAGGCGGAGACAGAAGCAGAAGCCAGGTCGCGTCGACGAAGAGATCTGAGCAACATGGATGTGGCCATTGAATAGTAGATAGATGGATCGAAAAAGTGTGTGTGCAAAACAAAATCAAAGAGCTTTTTATGCTCTTTTGCTTTGGTTTTGCCTTTTAGGGTTTAGGGTTTTGTGAGGAGAGATGTGGGACGAGGAGGCGCAAATGAGGGTTGTTTTTTTTCTTGGAGGACAAATAAAGAAGACGTGGCGGTGTGTAATTCGGGGTTTAGAAGATTCTGGATATCAACAGAGTTCAAAATTGACTTGTTTGCTCACTTGGGCTGGGCTTCATTGTTTGTATTTTGGTTTGGTCCAACTTGGCTGTTGGGCTTTCCTTCTCTCTCCCTCTTTGTAACTCTTGGGCTTTCCTTTTCCTTTCCCTGAATAGCTAAAATAAATAAAGGAATAGTAATAATAATTGATCAAATCGAGACAAATTGCCAAAAAAAAAAAAAAAAAAAACCATCTGATTTTTGCACAAAGTTTCTCTTAACTAAATTTTTTACCTAAAATCTGAATCTCCCTTGATTAGTTGATTATGCAATTGTTACAAGAGTCCCTCCAACTTAGGAGACAAATAACAGCAAAATGCCCTGAACTTATTGAACTTAAAGTCCAGGAATTTTTATACAATTTGCCCTAAATAATATATATATAGAATTGCAATTACAAAGCACTTTAATATCAAGGAGGGGTGGAGCCAATTAAGGCTTGGGGGCACGTGCCCTTGACGTGGGCCCGCCCAATAGAATATATATAGTTAATTTGTAATTTTTCTTTAGTATATATGAAAAATTATATATAGTTCCCCCTAAAATTTTAATTTCTAAAATTATCTTAACTTTTTCTTTCTTTTGTTTTTAAAATTCCTTAAATTTCTTTAAAAAAAAAGTCAAATTTTTTTTTTTTGAATCATAGTTTATCATACTCTAATTTTTTTTTTTTTTTTCCTTTCAAATAAATCTCAATTTTCTTTCCTTTTTCCTCTTAAAACTTCTTTTTTTTGTGTGTTATATCAATGTTAGTTGAAATTTTTTTTTTTAAATTGTGCCCCCTCTGAATTAAAATTCTGGCTCCACCCCTAATACCTCCAAAATTATACTAAGGCACTCCACTTCTATATCTTTTAAATTAAATAACAAAAATAACCTAAATTATTCCAATAGAGTTGTTCTCTAACTTTTTCTCTCCCCTCATCTATACTCCCTCTTCTAATTGTTGACGATAAAGATGAGGATAACAAGACAAAAATGGCCTAATAGAAACCTTAAAGGAATCATAAACTGTAGTGTTTTTAATATCTGCAAAAGTCTTTATATATATATATATATCTTTTCAATATATATATATTCTCTTTTTGTGTGCCTGTGATAACTTCTTTTCTCGATAGAAATAGTCATTAATGTTCTTAATTTTATTTTTCTTTATTTAATTCTAAAAATTTATAGTAAAAAACTAAGTGACGGTGATTTCCCAAATTATGCATATTCTTATTCATCATTGTATATAAAATAATTAATATTTGATAAATAGATATTTGAAAATGGCAGGGGTTGGTGATTCAGTTGGAGTGAAAAGGAAGCATATAAAAAAAGAAAGAAAAGAGATGGAAACAAGAATAATTTGTAGGTCAAAAGAGATGGAAACAAGAAGAGATTTTTTTTAGAGAGTAGTAGAGAGAAAAGAAGTCTTATTACAATAGTTGAGGGTTAATTTTGTCATTTAATTCCTGAATAAATAAAAGTGGAGCGGCAAAAACAGCTTTTTTTTAAAAAAAAAAATATTTTGAAAAAAAAAATAGAATATATTTTTATAAGAACAATGTTTGCCTCAAGCCACATAAGTACGAATGTATGTTGACATGGACCAATAAAAATATAACACTGTCCAAAAAATTTTAATATAATTAATAAAAATTGTTTGGATCTTTTTGTGAATCATTCAAAAGAAAAGATTTTTTATTTTCTATTGCAAACCCTTCGTATTGCAATTCTTTTACAAAACAAGTTAAACAATTAGCCTAAACATGGTAAATTAACCACAATTGTAAGAGTCTAATTATCAATAGAGTTTAAAGAAATCAATTTAGCTTCAGATTGCAACAGGTCAGGTAATAAATCTCAAAATTTTGTATACCACTATAGTTATGTTCCAGATTGGGTTGCAACAGAAATGACAGGTAACGAATGCAGCGGCTTGGATCATCTCTAAATGCTTCTAGCAGTAGAACAGTTAATTACTTCCTCTCTTAGATAAAAAAAAGGCGCCATTGATCGATTCAAATTATAAATCAATCAATGACACTGAAATCTAGAGAGAGAATATAATTCAATCTCACAATTTTAAGCAATGATGTTAGTTTAAGAGAAGCTTCAACACACAAAAAATATATTCACACACATATATATCGTACGTGTAGATGTATATTTACTGGAAGAGAGGGACACTTCTTTTGTTCGTCTATTAACGCAATGAGAATTGGACTGTGTGTGAGAGAGTAAGGGATGGATTTTTATTATTCGCCATCATTCTTTTCTTCTATTTTAAATTTTTAAACAGGCCACCTCAGCATAAGGAGAAAGACCCTTCTTATTCGACCAAAGGCAAATATTGTTCTATATATAAATCCCATACTAAGAGCACTCAACAGTGCAATTAATTATTAAATGAGAAAGAGGGATCCTCTCCAAATTGATTGAGATTCGATAAATATTCACGTTTCTAGGAGAGAACTAAACAATCGAGTACCAGACAACAATTTGGTTAAAGGTGAAGATAATGAAATTTTAAGAAATCATAGAAGACCTAAATGCATGAATAAGAGCAAATTAAAGACATAAGCAATACATGTACATAAAAATAGTATGGTTGTTGGTTTTTCCCTCCACATTTTAAGGTTCTCATGAGTAATGATGATTTGTTCTTAGAGGGGCAAGCTTCCCCTCCTAGCTGCTCTCATTCTCTGCAAAGCAGTTATACAAACATAATGAACTGAAAAACAAAAAACAAAAAAAAAAAAAGAGACACCAAAAGCACCAGCATCAAGATGGAGCAAGATGTTGTCGGGACACCCGTCCTTCACCTCTGGGTCCCTTTGCCCTGTCCCCGAACCTCCTTCCACATTCATCCCAACTGTTGAGAAAAACCAGCAAATTTAACGAGTCGAATTTGATCTGAACTCAACTGCTAACGAAGGTCGGTTTATTAAAAAGAAAAAAAATAACCTCTAGGGAATATGGATAAATGGAATAAAATTGAATGTTTGCTCGGCCTGCCAGTAATTCTTTTAGACATAGGGTCCAGGGAATTGTTTTTACCTCCAGTGTGCAATGACCTGCATTCCAGTAAAAATATATAATAAATATTATTATTACTATAATAAAAAATAAAATAAAATAAAATAACTTGATCCCTCAATGACCAGGACAAGAAAAACAGGAACATTTCTATTTTTCAGACATTAGGGAGTCATGTTATTGTAAGTATTTTAAGGAATTCTCCAACATAAATACAGTTAATGTGACAATATACTCCTTTTAGATGTCAAACCCAACACTTGACACTTGGGTCCATTGTGAAGAATTGAGAACTCACAATAAATCCCATAAACTAGAATGCATCATACGTCGTCGAAGATTAGATGCTCTTCAAATATGAGTGTAATTTAGCATAAGCTTTAACTATTCAGGACTGTTTAGCACCGGTGAAAAAATTATAATCACTAGCAAATCTTATTTCTAAGATAAACTTTTCTCAAATGAGGTTTTTCTTTTCTAGTTGTTGATATTTTTGTGTTTTATTCTACTTACTACTTTATTATTGGTATATTTTTCCCGTTGTTGCTGGCCTCGACCCTTGCGGATTAGGGTTGGGAGTGAGGAGAAGAGGAGGTCAATATTGTCTGCTCAGTGATTTAGCTATTAACTGACTCACTAAACAGAATCATTGAATTCCATCATAGTATGAATTCTTTTCTCCCAATTCTCCTATGACTTTATGCGAATGCCAAACTAAACCATCTAGCTGCCATAAACCAATCGCTCTTCCCTCTCGTCGTTGAGCTTACCCACTAAACTAGAGCGGGGTTGAACAGAGATGCTCTATCAAAACACTCCGTGATATGCAAACATGATAGGCCAACCATCTAAGTAATAAATGATTAATTAAAGAAAGAATATATAAAATGAAGGGAATATTTATGCACACAGATTTCCTCCATCGTTTTATTGTCAAAGACCAGAGCACATGGCACAAAGCAGCCAAAAGTTTATCATTTTATCAAAACAGGATCTAAAGCACATGGCAGGATATGATTGAACATACCCTCATAAGAAGGTGCAGTGAGGAATTAGTTGGATAACAAAAGCAGCAAAAATGTTAAAAACCATGTACAAAATTTCTTGCATATTGAATATAATTTATATAGAGTATGTCTGAACACATGCAATGCTACAGAAATGAGAACGTTGGAGAAACTGAAGATAATTGGAGGAATGCCTTACATGTGAAATGTGAAAAAAATATGTTTTGTACCTTAATGTGCTCATGGTGAACACATTGAAAGCCACTGGTTATACTCATCCATCCTTATTATGAAAGAGCTGGAACTTGGGGAGCCGCCTCCACCATATGCCTTCATTTTGAAAATGCAAAGCAAATTTAATTATAAATTTATCCCAATATATCCAGCACTAAAGAAAAAGAAAAAGAGAAACCATGTTTGTGATATCAAGTTTAAGACCTTTGCGACTTCAGAGGTATCAGTAGCACCATCTGTACTCCTCAAACACATTTTAAGATTGTTTCGTTGCATATAAATAACAGCTCCTATAGGCCTGACATCACAAATTAATTGTACTTTGATTAGCAACAACTAAAACATGTTAATATTACAACAAAACAAAGCAGCATTATAAATTGTGACATAGAAGTATTTGGTGGGCGTGGGGGAAGGAAGTGACATAGAAGTATGTGATTTTCATCCCTAACGCCATCTAAAGCTTTACCTCAGAAGCGCTAGATGGTGACCCAACCCAAACTTTTGATAGGGCTTCCACAATGTCTCTAAATGTTGGTTCCCAACATTATAAATTGTAACATACAAGTATTCAATTCATCATGCCTAATTCTATTCAGAGCTACAATTTTGATGTGTTAAACCCGGTCCAACCAAACTTTAGTTGGCTTTGATGGCTGTTTTTAACCCAGCTCAGGCTTGGGATGGAAACAGATCAACTGGACCACAATCCGGATTGGGCTTGGGTAAAAGTCTTGGACAATCTGAACTAGGTTATTAGCCAAAATCTACCTCTCCCCTTTATATATACCTGCCTGTCATTCCTTGTACAAATTTTCTTGATGAGGTGAGTGATTTTAATATTCTTTGAGAGAGAAAACATTAACAACCTTGCCCATGAATTAATATTCATCCCCCCTTTGGGGGTCATAAATCATAATTTTCTTCAAGTTCATGAACAAGAAGCTGACATCATCATCATTGCCTTTGTCACATATGAATGAGGTCGCCCACATGAATTCTCTTTTTCTGTTCTTTCCAATTACAACATGCCGATGTGAACAACAGAATTAAAAGAAATTCTAGAAAACTGTTTTTTAATCAGCAATAGTTTGCAAACCTGTAATTTAGAAACAAAGGCATGCATATGCAAAAATTACTAAAGCCAGTGGTTATTGGACAGGAGGATGCCTTTGAAATCACAAGGTGGGAAGAGAGCCAATTGAAGAATGAATTTTCCGGGACTTCTCAATATCCTTCCTGCTGCATATATGACCAATAGTACTGTACTGCATGTAATTATAACCCTAAAAAGGACGTATTTTTTGCAGGCATGGTTTGGTTCGGCCTCACAAAGTGGCCGCATACCCAGGGTTGTAGCCCAGTGGTATCTCCTCAACTTTCAAAAGTGAAAGGTCGAGGATTCAAGCCCATGTCTCCCTGTAGGGACAAAATGGGTGTGAGTTTATTTGCTTGAAAAACAAAATGGCCGATTGTTTCAAAGGAAAAACAATATCATTTAACAAGATCAAGATCGCTGCTGGTATCGTTAAGATTTTACAATAAACAACAAAAGGAGAAGGGGATAAGACCAAGGATGGAGAAGCAGATAAGCCAGGGAAGGAGAGCCGAAAGGCCAGGTAAGAAGAAGCAGATATAACCTAAGAAAAAGATGCAGATATTTTTAAAAAAAGCTCCTTCAGAACTTAGAGCAGGGAAGTTAATCCTGAAACAAAATGACTTCCTTAAGCAGTGAACCGTATACATGTTTGGTACAAACTTTGCCACCAGAAATATGACAACAACATTTTAATAAAATTGTCAACCAGAAATCTTGTTTCAAAAAGCAGATCATACCTTAATCCAGCTGCAGCACTCCTCACGCAAAGTTCCTTGCCTATTTCATCACTTAAATCGGGATTATCATCAGCTCTTACTCCCTAAGAATCAAAAGAAAGAAATCAAGACTTGCTAGGATATTGGAGAAATGAAGATGATGATGATTAATAATAAAATAAGAATGTGTTCTAGCAGAAGAAAAGGAGTAGGTCGTTTGAGAGAAGAAAGAATTGATAAGAGGAAAAATAAATAAAAAAATAGCATCTCCATCGCCAAATGAGGTAGATGCCCTTCAGATGAAGAGATAGTCTACACAAAGGAAATATAGATACAGTTTCATAGTCAAAGCATAGAAACAAAATAATTGCAATAAATGAGGCAGCACAATTATTTTACCAGACATTCCCCATAAAATCCTCTACCCAATTTGACTTTGAAAACCTTATCCAGCAATTTACATGCAGCATTATGGCGAGCTGAGATATAAGATTTTCCCTTGGTAATCAAATCCACAGAGCTTATCTCCTGTAACTGTTAACCTAGACAGTTTGAGCCAAGTTAGATAAATGAATCTATGTCCCTGAATTGCTGCACGTAATTCAAAGATAGATGGGGAAAAACTGACGCATATATAAGTGATAACTACATAAAAGCACATCCTCTGCGTGACGATTATGGAACATCAAAAGTAATATTATGCAGCAAATGATATAGTGCTCTAATGCGCACAGTGTCTGAATAAAATATACAGATGAATGGGAAGAAATTGACCTATATGATAACTAATCTAACAATGTTACCTCCGCATGTGAAACAGGGAAAGTGCATTACGCAGCCAATGATTGGAACTGCATGTGCAAACTGTCATTTATAATAATAATAATAATAATAATAATAATAATAATAATAAAATAAAATAACTCTTTTTCTCGTCTGTTTGTGTTAAAAATTAAAATAGCACAAATCAGTGGATAGCATAGCATGACTTGCTGAAGTGAAATCTTAAAACAGCTACCATCTCTAACAACAGTTTGAAAATTAAATCTTATAAAAGAAAAGAATCTCAGCAGCAAATTTTCAAATATTCATTAATTTAGTAATACTAGTAATATAGGCTTGATTTCTAGAAAGAAATATAATATGTGTACAATAGAGAATAGAGTTACATTCCTTTTAGCAATAGAACACAAAGGTAGTCAACATAGAGAGCATGAAATACAGGTCCTGTATTGACATGGCAGCTCACTTCTTTTCTGTGTCTATGTAAATCCTCGGGTCTCTGGAATGTAGATTCTGTACTATTGGTTTAATACTAAATCCTTAGAGTCACTGCTCCATACTACTATCTTGAAAACCCTACTCAAAAGAATCTCATTCAATTCAATATAAGAAGCTAACCAAACTGCTTCATACTACTATCTTGACAAGCCCACTCAAAAGAATCTCATTCAACTCAATATAAGAAGCTAACCCATTCAACTGACAGTCACTAAAAATCTCATCTAAACAGAAGCTCAACTTCTTTTCATGCTTAAAGAAAGTCCCATCCAACATTTAAGGTCCATTCTTCATGTTAGGACATGGCCAAGAAGTGTTTATTATGGAATACAAAACAACAACAACAAGCATTTTTCCCAATTACTTGGGATCGGCTACATAAATCCTATATTTCCATTCCGCTCTAAGGCCATAACATCAGTTAAACCACATGCAATCATATCCTTCTTTACTAACTCTATCATGGACACAAAACAAAGGATATAAATAGAAATATGAACATTGGAAAATTTCTGAAACTTCAATGATTTGATATGTCCCTTGATTACTCATTGGACTTGGAAAAACAAAGCAACAAAAGTGGCATGATTGATAAAAATTTACAACTACTGAAGTTTGATGTAGACATATATGCCCCCACATCTGTCATGAAGTGCATGATCAATGTAAAACAGAATGAATGTTCAAATGTAAGGCACAACAGTAGGCCATAACCCTCAAACAGTCGCTGAACACTGAAGTTCATGCATAAGACATCTATAAATGGTTCTTTGTTTGCTTTTAATTACACAAAGGTTAACTCTCAATTGTCCAATGAAGAAAAATATATAGTACATTGGCAGTTAAAAAGTAATGCAAGGCAAAACTAATTTCAAAAGCATGTTTAATGAATAAGGGAATCCAAATACAAACTACTGAACCTGCTCATACATGTCTGGATTAGTGATGCAATTCAATGTAGAACGCCATTCACCAAGACCTATGTTAAATGATTTAATGTCTGGCAAGCTCCATTGGTGAAGATCCCCATCCTGAATGTACTTGAGAACCATTTCGACACGATCTCGGTCCTTTGGGTTTAGTAGACTCATGACCTCCCCCTGTTTTGTACAAATAAATAATATTTTAACTCGACATTCCAATTGGTTGCATCGAATTGGATCCTTGGAGATCCACTTTGATCTTACAGCTACTTCATAAATCTAAATTTGGATTTGAATTCTCTATAAAACAAATCCTCTATAAAAGCAAGATTTTGAAAACAGCCCGAGTTGTGTTTGGTCCAATTTAACATGCAATGAATCCACAAGAGTACAATATAAACTTTTGAATTCCATCAAGTTAGGAGTCCAAGTGATATCCAATTCTGACAACCATATACAGCCTTAATCAACCACAGTAAAGCACACAAACTAATTAAAGCACTAATAAATACAGATCTACTTACATCAGAAATTTTCATTTTTGAAAGTTCTGCAGAAAAATATTCATACGCGGAAGTAGAGCTACTCTTCTCAAGATCAACATGAAATATAACATTCTCACTACGATCTTCTTTAGAGGAAATCTTGGACAATACTGATTTCCGATGATCAAAACCTATCACCCTAATTAAACCAATAATGGCGCTATAAGCCACTTCACATTCCCAATTCAATCAAATAAGAAGGTAACAAAACCACCATCAAGAAAAATAACAGCACAGAGTTCACTTACTCGCTTGAGGTTCGATGTGCAAGCTCAGAGGCAAATCCCCTCGGGCCCAGGAAATCAAGAAGGTAACATTTCTTGAGTCCTTCAACGCACAAATCTTCAACCCTGTGTTAAATGGACAATTAATTGAATAAACAATTAAACATATCCCTTTAATTGCTTAAAGAACTGTTGAAAATTTACAAAATAACAGAAAATACAAAACATATCTGGTTACATATCTGGTTAATTGCTTATAGAAAACATGAAATAGCTTCACAATAAATCATAAACTCCAATTGAGTCAACATTAATACAATCATCATCTGAGTGATTATCCAAACATAAAGCTCAAAGAAAATCAACAAGTTAATACGAATACACAGATACGTATCTACTTAAGTGTGTGTAGTGTGAAAGCGTGTGTTGTGTGTGTGAATTTGTATATATACCTGAGGGGTTCGACGGAAGAAAAAGGCAAGATGAGGTAGGAGAGATTGAGGTGAGAGTGGAAGAGGTGAGCGAAGAGAGCAGAGAAGGCTCCTGAAAATGAGGGGTAATTGTAGAGGACGATGTTTGGGGTTTTGTTTTCGGATGCTTTGGTTAGGGCTTCGACTGCTGCGTTGGATCGGAAACTTCGAGCTCGCAGGAAGAGAGTCGGAGAGGCACTAGTGCATTGCCGGTAGAGCGAGAGAGACATTTGACAAACGTGTACGGAAACGCAAAATGGTTCTCTTTCGAACTCTGGTTTGTTTGGAAGGAGGGAAGATGAAAAAACAATACATACTCCACTTAGCGACTCCACCCCCATTTCTCACAACTTTATTTTTTATTATTATTATTATTATTATATATATTTTTTTTGTAACAAAACATTAATTCACCAAATTTACCTAATACTTGGTTGTCCATAGTTCCAATGATTTGCAAATTTTAAATGCATCTAATTTTGATGAATTAATTTTGCAAATCATTTGAAGATACAAGAAATAGTTTTCTATATTGGGAATGAATTTTGTTACAATCCAAACAGCCTGTCTCTCCTTCGCTCTTCATAGAAGTTTACATTTGCCCTTAAACTTCTATTTTGACCACCAAACTTGGGCCCATTTGGGCTGGGTCCTCTCTTCTGGCCGTGCTGGATAGGAAGTCCGCTCAAAATATTGGTGAAACTGGGCCTGGGTATGTCATGATGGCGTCCAGGTCGGTGAGTTGGTCCATGCGTGACCTAATAGTCCAATAGTGCTCCAGGCCCGACTGGCCGACCCGAATATGGCCGAGATCATTTTATGTCCTCTCAAATGAATAGGAGAAGGGACGGATAAATATTTTCGTATATTTTCGTATTTGGTTGAAGGGAAGAGAAATGAAGAGAGGTTTTTTTATGTTTTTCTATCTACCCACTTTTGAGGAAGAGAGGAGAGAAAAAGACATAACTGCCTATAAATTTGTAATTTACAATTTTAACCTTTTTTAAGTATTTTGAAAGGCAAAAAAGCAAAAAAAAAAAAACCCCTCAACAATCAAAAATCAGCATTTTACTCCTTGGACTACACAATTGAGCAAGTCAGTACCACAACTATTATAAATGTGCAGTTTGACCCCCTAGTAGTCCTTTCCGACTCATTTCCGGTCACCATTATTGTACATTTACAAAAATACCTATTATAATTAACATTTAAAAAAAAGACAAATAAAATTAAAATTAGAAAATACTATATACGTCGTCTTTGCATATGGTACTCTCCCTCCCTCTCTCTACAATTTACAGTCTCTCTCTAAAACACTTGTTTTTTTTTCTTTTCAAGATTCATATCCCTTAGTCCTTGTATTTCTTTTTGTTTTCCTGCAAATTTTCCAAGAACCAAATGGAAAATTTCTTATAGAATTATTAATTTTATGTACAAAAGCTTTGGATTTTAAATCATAGAAGTTAGGGAATGAAAATTTGGTAGCTGACAAACTTTGGATATAACTAGTAGCCGACAAGCTTGGGATAAATTTATTTTTTTATTTTTTACTTTTATGACAAACTTAGGTTCCTGAATCCTGACCAATCATAGCTGACCACATCAACAAAAATATTACTGTATTACATATATGGAAATAAGTAATACAGTAATAAATATATAAAATTAGAAAAATAAAATGAGATTGTGTATATATATATATTTATATATGTGGGTATATATATCTTGTTCATTTAAGGGATGTATGGATCTGTATATTTATGGAGAGAGAGATGAAGGGTAGGTGATGGAAGGTGGAGAGAGAAGAGAGAGAATGAAAGAGGGCTACAATGGTCAAATGGATGGGCAAAGATGGAATTATAAAAAAAAAGTACAATTCAGGTGTGCAACTGTTGGCCGGAGATGAGCCGAAAAGGACTGTTAGGGGGCCAAACTGCACATTTCTATAGTTATGGTACTGATTTGCTCGATTTTGCAGTGCAGGGATAAAAAATGCTGATTTTTTATAATTGAGGGTTTTTTTTTTTTTTTTTGAAATAAATATCTACCTTTTATAATTTTATATAATGAAAGTGTACTTGTAAAAAAATATAAAAACTCTCGTTATCTTCCTTTCAACCAAACAAAAATAAAGAATCACTCTATCACCCTTTTTGCTGTCCATTCTATTCAACCAAATAAAAAATTAAAAAAACACTTTCCCTTCCCATAAATCCTCATCCATCCCTCCCCATATCTCTTCCATAATTGCTTCTAAAATAATTTATTCTTAAAAGAATCGATTTTAATTATGGGCAAGTGGTTATTTTAAGAGGGGAAAAATAATTATTATTTTAATGCCACCGTACATGGCGTACTTGTCTTCCAAGGCTCGTTGTCAAATGCCAAGTTGCCAACTTGCACAAGCCCCACTTCATTTTTTCCAATACCATGAGAGTTGTTTGTTTCCTGAATCCCGTTGAGTAATGCTCTCTGAAAGCTCCATGGATTAAAACATTTTTAAAAATTTAAATAAATTATTTAATATATTTTTCATTTCAATGATTAAAATAGAGAACTCGTGGTGAGGGAGCAAATAAGAAGAATCATGAGTTTTCTATATTTATTGAGATAGTTTTTTTTAGACTTGTGAAAATTCAAATGAATCTTTTAATATATTTTTTATTTTATTAGTTAAAATGGGGAGCTCGTGTTGAGAGAGTTTGTACGAGAGCTCTCTCATAAAAAGAGTCATAAGCTTTATGTATTTATTTATTGGATTGAGATACGTATTTTTATTTTTTACATATGTGAAAATTCAAATAAATCATTTAATATACTTTTCACTTCACCGGTTAAAATGGTTAATTTGTGGTGAGGGAGATTCATGATAAAAGTCATAGAACTCTTTATATTTAACCACATGATTGAGATAGCGTTTTATGAGAAATGTGAAAATTCAAATGAATCATTTAATATATACTAGCAAAAGAACACGTGTAGATGAATAACCTTTCAGCATTTTGCATTATAGGAAAGAAGACATAACATTATAACATTTTTGTTAAGGCTTTCCTTTCATAGACTCAAGTTTATCGAGATGAATGAACTTTCAAAAAATAAATACAATGGAGAAAGAAAAAAGGAAAAATAGCAATCCAAAACTCACAAAAACAAGTTGACATACAAATACTATCTAAATTAAGCAATAATGTTTTAAAAATTGAATTAACAAATGCAAATCAAATGAAAACCAAAACAATGGAAAGCCTCTAGATAACATGAACAACCAAACTCAAGTCCTCATAGCGTCTTCTTTTTTACAATGCAAAATGCTAGAAGGTTATTCCTTTTGTGCTTGATCCATGTGAATTACAATATGATAATTATATATATATATATATATATATAAACAATTATATTTTAGTGATGATCAAAGGATTGTTAGGTTTCGTTCAACAAATTAACAATTATTGAGTTTCTTGTAGTCATATTGAAGTACTTATTTGAATATGAGTATTTTGTTGTATTCTTCCTCTAGATTACATGTACTTTCTTTCTATAACATTATAACATTTTTGTTAAGACTTTCCTTTCATGGACTCAAGTTTATCAAGATGAACGAACTTTCAAAAAATAAATGCAATGGAGAAAGAAAAAATAAAAAATAGCAATCCAAAACTTACAGAAATAAGTTGACATACAAATACTATCTAAATTTTTTCAAGAAACGGGATCAAGGAAGATTAAGCAAAAATGTTTTAAAAATTGAATTTACAAATGCAAATAAAATGAAAACCAAAACAATTGAAAGCTTTAGATAACATGAACAACCAAACTCAAGTCCTCATTAGGAAAAAAGAAGAAGGTATATGTAATTCAAATAAAGAATACAATAAAATACTCATATTCAAATAAGTACTTCAACATGAGTACAAGAAAACTCAATAATTGTTAATTTGTTGAACGAAACCTAACAATCATTTTATCATCACTATGCCTAATATTAAAACAATTTAATATGAATTCATCACTATGAGCTAAACTGAGTAGAGAATTCAAAACAAGCAAATAACTTAACCAAGCTAATTGATGCTCCTGATTTGTTGCACATGAATTCTCATCCTCACTACCAAAGCTAATTGATGAAATATGCTTCTTGGTACTTCTTCTTCTTGTGATCCCTGCTTGTAATGCTCTTGTTAACATCTAATCTTGCTGCTCCCTCAATATTGGAGCTTGATCTTGTAATTTTTACCTCTATTTATATAATAGACTTTTATGTTATTGTTCAAAATTTTAAGAGACATCAAATACTATTAAAGTTTGGAAATTTCAAGAATTACAAAAGTTTTGCATTAAACATAAAAATAATAAACTTTTAATGAAATTTAAGGTTAAAAATTCTAAGAGGTTGTACATGTTTTGTACTCCACTTTTAATGACATTTTTTTAGGTTGAAAATCCCAAAGGTTATTGACCATTAAAAACAAAATGAAATTCAAGTAATTAATGTCCACTAATACTTTTTAATGAAATTGGATTTAATTTAAAGTGAAAAAAAAAAAAATGGTTGGAGATTTTAAGTATCAAAATAAAAATAATACAGTTTTAATAAAATTTAAGGTTGAAAATTCCAAGGGTACCATTTCACTTCTAATCGGATTAAAAACATGTTTTTTTGGTTTTCGTCAACTTTTTTCATAAAATATTAGGTCATATATAATATATACATTTATAATCTATATTATTAACGAGGCATGATTCATTACGCTTTAATCAATTTTTTTTTTGTTTTAACCTTTCTGAAGGCATTTTAAACCAATATATATAGTTGATATATACATTAATAAAATTTTTAAATTTAAAATGACAAAAAATATTTGGAAATAGAGAAAATGTCTGAAGTTGGATAGACAAAAAATGGTACATTTTTTCCTTTCCCTTTTACGTTTTCTTTTTTTGTTTGTTGTGCATTTTTTTTTTTTAAATGAAGTTTTTTTGCATGGAAATTTTTGGAAATGAACGGGTTTGCTTTTAAATATGATTAATCTCTGAATTTCAATAGTCACATATGATTAATGAGTGTATATATATTTTTATTATTTCTTATCATTTTTAACAATTTTGAATTAGAGTATTTATTTAATGGTTAAAATAAAGAGTTAATAAAAATACTTTTTATAACTAAATACACACATACCGGAATCAATATTAAGAAAAAAGGGCAAAAAAGAAAAGAAAAATATTTTTCATCCCACTTCTTAAAAAGCAACCCCTTCCCGAAAAATTTCATGTCTTAATCCACAATATTTTTAAAAAAAAAAACTAAGAGCATCTCCAACGGTCTGCTAAAAAATCATTTTGTGTAAAATAT